CTTTCCAGTAAGGAGGTCTATATTGGGACATTTAGTCTCCAACAGCAGGGTAAAGGAAAGATTTGAGGAGAGCGGTTCTGCAGGCTGAGACCAAAGTAGTGGTGGAGGGAAAGAAAAGGATGGGGTTAATTTGGAATCTGTGAGTAGAGTCAGAATTTGGTGACTCACTGAATGTGTGGGTGCTGAGAAGGAAGCAAGATGACTCAAGTTTCAGCTCTGCAATACTGGGTTCATGTTGGTGCCCTTAACTAGGGGACAAACTGTGAGCAGAGGAACAGGTATGGGAGACAGGATGCACTGTTTGTTAACAGTGACCTTTGTTCAGCATGATACCTTGCATTGTTGGTGTTTATTGACCATTTTCTTTCTTAAACTGTCAGGGTCCTCAGGTGTGCTAGGCGATGTGTGCTGTTGTGTTGGCAGAGATGGCCTGAGTACTAAACCCCAAAGCCTTCCCACTGGGGTGGCAGTTAGTGCCATGTGGTACTGGCCTGTACTTCAGAGTACTTGCCCATCCCTCTTGCATTGAGGGCTTCCTTCCTGAAGTTGCATTCCTTTTGTCCTTTCCAGTCTGAAATGTCCCTCCCCTGCAATTTCTCACATAGGGCTTATTTTTCAGAAATCACCTCAAATGTCACCTGTTTGGAGAACTCTTTATCTGTCACTAGTTGAACAAGGTACTTTCTCTGTGACCAAATCTACTGTGGTGACTGCCGTGTGTGTGCTGGAGCTTTCTGAAAGTGCACTGCTCTCTCCATCCAGCTGGTTTAGTTAGACTCCACAATAGATTGCGTTGGACTAGAGAGAGCTTGGGAATGAGTAGGAGGAGAGGGGACTTGTGCTTCTTCCTGATGCCTGGTTTCTCTCAGTGTCACCCTGACAACAACAATGGCCTGCACTGTGTTTTTGATTTTTATTTTGTTGTAACTTCTTGCATTCTCCAAATCTGCAATTTTGCAAGATTTTCTCCTTAGAGTATTGAGCCTTGTTCCAAAGAGTCTGAATTCTAGATCTGATTACCCTATGTTTTCTCTTGAAGCTTTTCCAACCCTAATTTTTGTAGTTGTTTCCTCTCTTAACTAGCTCTGCTACCTGTTTTTGTGCTTTCACCAATATCTAGATTTTTCCTCTACTACTGTCTCCCTGTGGGATTACCAACTGTGATTTCTGCCTTTCGTAAGGACTGTACTACAGAACCTGACTTAGGATTCCACTCACTCTTTTAATGAACCACTCCATTGTCTGTACTTAAATATTGTTTTCTGTCTCATACTTTGCGTTTGTTGCTAGTTTCCAGGAAGGTCTCGTTAATCCTCATAGTCTTGTTACTTACCATGGAGCCTAGCATCTTGTATGAACTTAGTTGGTGTTTCTTAAATAAACTGAATTATTATAAAAGACGAAATACATGAGACAGGTATGGCGGCACACACTTACAATCCTAGTGCTCAGAAAGCAGAAGCAGGAGGATTATTGCAAATCTGAGGTTAGCCTGGTCTAATACCAACTTCCCAGCCATCTAAGCCTATATAGATATAGCAAGACTGTTTGGGAAAAAAAAATGGACAAAACAAAGATAAAAGAAAACAGAAAAAAAGACCAGAATTGAGCAATTTTTTAATCTTTCAGTTTTAGTCTAATTTATCAGTGGACTTAGAGCCATGTAACTCTCTCAAGCACAGTACTTGCTGATAAGCATGTTAGAATACAGTATATTATTTACTTCTAGAATGACCATCAGTGGAATAACGGCACAGTCTGCTTTGATTCTGGACGGTCATGCATCTCTACTTTCTCTAACTGAGGAAGAATGCTTACCTTGGTGGGTTTTCTTGAAGATCACAAGTTGCAATTGGTTAGAGCTGTAAAGTTTTGTTTGTTAGCCAAGAATTTTAAAAATGGAAGTCATCCAAAGAATCTATTTGCAACATCACTTAACAACATTTACTTGGAAAACAGCCTTTTTATGTTTTATTTTTCACTGTTAAATGATTCACAAAACCAGAGCATAGAACCCCTAAGACCAGTTAACTTCCGTACAGCTCTGAGTATCTGAAAGTAGTGTCTAACCTTTCATTTAAGCTTTGATTACTAAAACAAAGAAAACGTCAACATAGTATATATACTTAATTCTTAAATAATTTTGGTCAATTAATGTGAATAGATTAAATGACACCAATTAATAGATTAAACAGATAAAAGTAGAACCATTTCATTGATCCAAAACTTTCAAACTTCCCTGGAGCCACTTTAAATGTCCTATCTTACCCATTTTCTAATTCTGAAAGAAAAAAATGTCTTTTCCATGTTTATTAGGCTACTGGGGTCCTTAAAATTCAGCCCTTCTTTCATTTCCTCTATCCATTTAGAAATCTGTTTAAATTTGTACGTGCCCACAGCTGTTGTTTTCCTTACTCAGAGCCTGCTTTCACACTGCCATCAGCTTGAAGTAGCATGTCTTCTCACACATAGATTCACACCATAGCATTTATATTCAATTTCTATTTTTCTAATGAATTTTGTTTTCATTGGTCACTACTGAAATTTTATTCTTACAGCTCATAAATGACTGCCTACTTAATAAATATTCTTTTTTTTTCTGATTTCACTCATATTCTTGGGACTTTATTCTTGTTACTTCTTTTGCATCTGGCAGTCAGTTCCCTTTCCTTGAGTGATGCTGTGCTTTTGTCCATGTTTTCTACAAATACTTTTCATTCCAGTCTTTCCCTATACCCTGAGGCCTGTCTTACGGTTAATCCACCCTCTTGGGTTATTTATATGACTGAGCTCCTGAGTTGAGTTGTATGCAGTCAGAACATTTTTTAACTTCTAACCAGAACTTTTAAATGCTCCTCCACAAAATGAACTTTCCTGACTTTTCCCATTAGTTGTCCGACATTTTCTGACTGAAGACTTGGGTTCATTTCTCACCTATGGTTTCCTCTCCAGGGCTTGTACCAGTTATAAATTCTTCCCATTTTTCTCTCCAGCAGTGAAGTCACCTGTCCCCTTTCCTTATCAGCTTCTCTAGACAGCACAGCCTCATTCTTTTCTGAACTGGTGTCTTCCACGTCCCTCTAGTTTAACTGGTTCTTCCTGAAGCTTCCAGAGCATGCATCCTAAGTGCAGCTCTGCTCATACATCCTTGATTGAGAGTCTTGTCCCTAGAATAAATCCAGATGCCTTCGCTTGGTATCCAAGAACTCTACAGTCTCAGTCTTAAAGATGTTGTTTTCTCCCCAGACCTCTGTTCCCATAGTTCTGAGGACCCTGGAGCCATAGTTGCAAGTTTGAATTTTGTTGTTTTCCTGTGAGAACTATGTGCCTATGGACAGACACATTTCTGCCACGGTTTCTCCATCTGTAATAACAGGAGCCACAAGGGTGTTGTAAAAGTTAACAGGAAGGGCTTTGAACAATGCCTGGTGCACAGCAAGTGCTAGTGAGTGTTTCACTGCATATATTTGCTAAGGCCTATATACATGTGGGCATCCATATGCCATAAATTCTAAAGACTGGACTCTAGAGCTTTTTAACCCTTTAAGACTGTAGTTGTCACAGTTTGCAGAGTCTATCATGCATTATGAAATATATAAATATAGTTCCTTGCACAACTTTTCTTTTTCTCCCTGATGGAGTACAGTCACAGCTACTTCATTTTATCTATTTCTGGGAGGAGGAGGAGTATAGTATTCTTTGTACCCATAGACATAGTAGGTGCTTATTTCTTAAATGAATATGAAGAACTATGTGTTTGCATTGGACCTCTATTAATTCATCTTTTCTTCAATGGTAAAATAGAACATTTAACTTTAACCCTGAAAATATCAAATGTTATTAAAAGTACAAGTTTTCCTTACCTTTCATATCATGATTTGTTACTTAGTCTGGTTTACTAGGCATACACTACAGAACACAGACTCTTCCTGTTAACATGATTTGAAAAATATCTCCCAAGTTTTTATTAAGAGAAATATCCCTGAGTGTCATCACAAAAGCCCCACATTTCTATTTTCTTTCAAACATTATTTAAAACATTTCTAATGCCAGCTGTGGTGGCATACACCTTCAATCCCATCACTTGGGTGAGAGAGGCAAGTGAATCTTGTTCCAGGACAACCAGGGCTATATAATGAGATCTGCCTGATGACACAAAACAAACAAAACCAAGTCCTAACATTCCAGCCACTCATCTGCAGTTTTCTGATTCATAACTTATTTTTCCCTTCACTTCAGAGAGCTGTACATATCCAAAATTGGTACCTAAAAGAAGAATACCTTTTTTCTAAATAAAGTATCTTTCCTCCAGCTATGCTTACCGCTTATCCAGCTATCACTGGGAAAAGCCGAAGATGGGCAGTTCTCCTACTTACTAACGTACCCCAATGCTATTTTTTTCTAATGACTATAGTAAGATGCAACGCTGTATCAGGCCACAATTTCAATCTCTCAGGCTGTGAGCCTTGGTAGGCCTTCTTAAGCATTCTGTTACCGAGGCAGACTTCTGTCAGAATGGATCGACAGTCTTCTCTTTCTAAATAATAAGGCTGCACAATACATTTTTTAAATAATGATCAAGGATTTTTTTTTTTATTCATTAAGTTTCAGTATCATTACAGAAAATGTTATGGTACAGAGTTGTTTAACATTATTTTGTTTTTGCTCTTGATTTCCACATGAATGCTGGTAACACTAATATCTGTACAAGATCAGTCTTTGATTTTGTTTTTGTTCTGTACAATTTTAAATGTGTTGGTTAAAAAGGCTGTCAGCACTTAAGGAAGCATTTTCCCCCAGTTTGTTTGTTCAAATAAAAGGTATCCAGTTACTGCCTGCGAGTACTGTGCCATGAGGCTGCTAGGGTGAGAACTTCCCTGGGTGCTCGGCAGGGATGTTCTTGCGGCAGGCAGGGCCTCCACGCAGTCACTCCTCTTTTGGCACGGTGCACATAAACACGAGATACATGATAAAGAACAAGCAAAAGCTCTCTGTAAAGCAGTTATGAAGCATACTAAGAAGGGAAATCCAAGTGTTGCCTACACTAGTATAAATAAGCAGACAGCCTTGATTAAGAGCATAAGTAGTTGTATTTAAAGATGAGAAAAACACAAGTTCTGCAGGCACCTACCGCTGTCTACTAAAAGCTATCAGATCTAGCATTGAACACACAAAGCAATTTGCAAGAAAGGAAAATTTTGCTTTGATATAATCGGAATAGAGTTGTCTGTTAGGATTTATTCTTAGGTTTTTTTTTTCTTTAAAAGGTATTTAAATTCATTTGAAATATAATTCAAGATGTTGACTATACAGATCAACTTTTATCCAAATCAGAAAAACTAGCTGTGCCGTTGCATATTACAGGATACAGTCAATGATATGTGGACATGCATCAAAGCTTTCTCCTGTTGGTCACCATCATAGCCGTCCAATGACCATGACATCCACCACCTCGCCCTTGTGGAGTTCCACATACTGCTCTGTCTTTGGAGGTAGCATCAATAATCCATTGGCACTGCGCATGCTCATCAAACGGCTGCTCATCTGATTACCTGGAATGAAATACTCTCATTACTGCAGCACAGGGATCAGGAAGTACACGTGGAGAGGCCAGCAAATGGAAGTGCAGGGCTCCAAAAGGGAGGGAGAGAAACGCTCAATCTTTCCAGTACCTTTTCCAGGTGAAATGTATGTCCTAGATCCTTCACCTTCTCATCCAAACTTAAAAAACAAGTATTAGATATTTTTAAAAGAATAAAATAAGGTTTAATAGCATCATTCAGGGTGAATTTATATTTGTATAAAAATGAAGCCTTTTAAAAACTTAAGAATAGCCATACTAGCAGCTGCCATTTAGTGCCAAACTACAAGTCACTTTATTGACTCTCTTACAAGATGCCAAAAGTCTGAGGCACACTGCCTAGTGCCTTGATAACTAGGCTCGTGGTTAACCTGCAAGCAGAACTCTGTGATGACAAGGTTCATGAACTGAATCACTTATTAGCTGATGTGTGCAGCTGATACAGCATCTTTTGTTAATAGGTAAAACACCTTATGTGGCATTGAATCAAACCTTGGGCAAAATATGACTAGAAAAGTTGGGGACAAATGTTTAAAGTGGAGAGCTCTATACTTCAGAGCTAGAACTCTGAAAATAAATACAGCTTCTGGTGTCCTTAAGATTTGTCCTTACCTAGAACATAGTAGGAGCCAGAAAGGTCATATAAAGTTGGCTTTCTCTTTACATTTCAGGAAAAACAGCTACTGCACTATATCCATCAGTCATGCTCAGAGGGCTGCTTGAACTAATAGATCAAAATGTATAATTCTGTTTTTATATTTCAAATGCTTACATAGAAAATATGGTTTGGTAAAATAAGGAAACATTGTTTAAGAATAATTTATTTCACCAAACTTTTCAAAAAGAGAAGTATACAACAATTATTCATTTCATTATCAGCACGTCTGACAGCTGTTTTTGTGGTTTGTTAAGAACAAGTGCACAGGGATCCCTGCGGGCGTGCAGGTGTGAATGACTGACCTGTACTCTGGGCCCAGGGCAGTGGTTCTTGGTGATGCCAAGTCAGTATACACCGGTGGTATTCTGGGCGAGGGTCCAGTTTCACATCACATGATAACTACAGCAGGAAGAGGGAAAGAAATTTAACTTGGTCATCTGATCATTTCTCAGAACTACAGAGAATATAGTAATCCTGGGTAGATAATATCCTTATCATTCCACTAGTTCTATCATTTCCATCTTACTTTTAATACAGGAAGTCCAGGGGCTGGTTGCTATGGTAAAAAAGAAAGAATGCTAAGAAGCCAGTGTTCATAATAGGGGAAAGGACAGATGAAAAAGGTCTATTGTTGTGGGTTGTAAGGAACTTAGACCTATGAAGTGGGAAATTGAAACAATACCACAGGATTGAAAGGAGGTAGGTCTAACACGCAAATCAATATCCATCCACCCAGAAATATTCATTGCTGACTTAATATGTGATAGGCATATTCAACTCCCCATTTATTGAACTATTTTTAACATACACATGGAAAAGACTTTTTTTATGTTGCTTATATTTTCTTTGCTGGTAGCATAGTTTCCCATTACTCCTAAATTATTTCACGCTTCTCTCTTAATCTCTCTGTGTGTGTTTTGCAGTGCTAAGTTTTAGGAACCACTTATATGGCTACTTTGTAGACAGTATTAAGGAAGAGATGGTTGATGTTAAAATGAGAAATAAATGTAAGGATTCCTAAGAGCTTTGCAGTGTTTGATAAACATGCATCTCTTAGAACAATGTGGATCTTTCCTGTTTCCTCAGTTTAGCGAGTGTGGATATAATAATTTCTCCATTGCTTGGTTGGCTGTGTAATTTCACTGTTAGGACTTTGTCTTTTTGATCTGATCATAATTCTTTTTCATTCATGGCTGGCCTTCCTTCCTTGCTCTCCTTCCACCTCTCTTTGTTAACAATTCCAAATAGCACCTCCCTGTGATTACTGAAAGAAAGCTCTTTTGGGGGGTGGGGTGACTTGACACACAGGACACTATGGTGACTAGTTGATTTTAAGTGATATTTTAGAGAAATGAGATGCTCTTATTTTCATTCATTCACAAATACCCAGTAATAAAAGTATCAATGTTAAGACTGTTGACAGTATAGATTTTCAAAAATGTTTTTGTTTTCCGTGTATGTGTCCATTTGCACACACAAGTGCCACAGCATACATGTGGGGGTCAGATGACAACTTTCAGGAAGTCATATGGGTCCCAGGGATCGAATTCAGGGTGCCCAGCTTGTCAGCAAGTGCATTTACCTGCTGCGCTATCATGACAGCTGTCTTATATGTTTTTATACTGTATATCCTGAGTAAAATTTTATTATTATTTGCTCATCTGTGTTTTATATTTTTTGATCAACTAATCATAGAATTGTGTCACATGTAAATTACTTTAAAAATACTGAGAAGTAATACCCTTGGTTATATAGTTTATGATATCAAGAAAGTCATTTGTGAGTACTACAAACACGTATAATTAGTTGGGTGGTAAATTAGACTAGCAGTGCTGGTAAGGAAAGAGGCGCTAACTTCCATGTGACTTACTGTAGTGTGTAGCTCCTGTCTGTCTATGCTGCTCTGAACACAGCACATCTGCTTTTTTGTCCTCAAGTGACAAATTCTTCTAGTCCTTTGACTGCCTTTTCTGAATTATTTTGAGGAGCGATCACATAAAAGCAGGCAGGCTAACTCCTGTCCTCCATGAACCTCCCTGGGGAAATAATCTCTCATTCCTTACCCTACACAGGTCTAGGGTGTGGTCCCAGCTGATTTCTTTTGATGGTCTGTTCTTAGAACCCACTAGAAGTTTGAAGCCTTGCTCTCTGGGTTCTTTTAAACTTTAAAAAACTTTATTTACTTTTATGTGTATGGATGTTTTTCCTGTGTGTGCACATACACTGTACAGTGTATGTGTATGTACACTGCCTGAGGAGAAGGCCAGAAGAGGGTGTCAGATCCCCTGGGATGGAGTTACAGACAGTTCTAAGCTGCCACATGGGTGCTGGAATCAAATCTAGGACTTCTTGAACAACAGCTAGTACTTTTGTCTTCTGAGCTATCTTTCTTTATGTTAAAGGAAAATAAACATGAATTTTCCCTTCTACTTTCGCCCACAAAGGAGAAAATACCAACACATTTATGAAAAAAAGATCTAAAATCCTAGGCATCTATTTTTGGCAATGAGTAATTGTTATTAGGGTTCCATTTTGGTTTCTGGTCATTAGAAAACATTACCCTGGCTTTGATGATGGTTGGCCGAGGATCCAAGATACCCTGCATCTTTCTTAGTGCAGGTACAACAAAGAGGTTGCAGGTGACCACAGCTGATACAGGATTCCCTGAAAGTCAAACGAGTAGTTATTTATATTACACTACATAAAAAATTGTCAGATAATTGTATCTGCCTATACATTCAGTTATGACAGAACATAACAGAAGTGACTGATGATTAGTCTACTTTCTTCTGAGTTACTCTGAATCCAACAGAATGATAGAAAAGAGTAGCAGGGCGGTGCTACTCCTTTAATCCCAGCACTCAGGAGGCAGAGGCAGGCAGATATTTTAGTTTGAAGCCAATGTGGTCTACAGAGCTAGTTCCAGGACAGCCAGAGCTACACAGAGAAACCTTGTCTCACAGAACAAAACAAAACAAAAGGAAAAAAAAGAATAGCGGTACAGTTAACCACCTGTTGCAGACAGTATGAACTGAACTTTTTGGTCTTCCACTGAAATACAAAAAGGTTTGATACTCAGCTTTTAGATACTATCTCTGCTTTGCACTGAAAGCTATTGCTAACTCTTATGTGTGTGTGTGCGTGTGAGCATGTGCCTGTATGTATGTGTGCATGCATGTGTGAATGTGTGCATGCACAGAGTTGTGGGTGAAGGGGTAGACACTGAACTCTGGGCTGCCTGCATGTGAAACACATACTCTTATACTGGGTATCAAGTCAATACATTAAAAATTTTAATATATATTCTTATTGTTTTTAAAGTATTTCTAATATAGAAATATGATACAAATAAGATAAAATATAAAAAAGGAACTTTACAACCATCTTTATTCATATCCATCTTTATCTTATATCCATCTTTATCCTTTAAATAAAAAATAAAGAAACAGCACCAAATGACCCACGTTCCAAAAACTTGAAAATGAGTAAGAGTATGGTATAAACTGCAGTGTCCTCAATTCACAGGAGGAAGCTCTAGCACTCAGTGTATCTGAGAAACAGGGTCTTGGTGATTAAAGCTCAGTGAGGACACAAAATTGGGCCCTAACTTAGTAGAACTGGTGCCATTATAAGCATGGAGATAACCTAGAACCCCTGCACAGATGTAGCCCATGGTAGTTCAATGTCCAAGTGGGTTCCATAGTAATGGGAACAGGGACTGCTTCTGACATGAACTGATTGGCCTGCTCTTTGGTCACCTCCCCCTGAGCGGGGAGCAGCCTTACCAGGCCACAGAGGAAGACAATGCAGCCACTCCAGATGAGACCTAACAGACTAGGATCAGAAGGAAGAAAAAGAAACCCTCCCCTACAAGTGGACTTGGGGAGGGGAGTGTGTGAAGAAGGGAGAGGAAGGGAGGGGTTGGGAGGGGAGGAGGGAGGGAACTAGAGGGGGATACAAAGTAAATAAAGTATAATTAAAAATAAAAAAAGAATAAAAAATATGAAATATATATAAAAAAAAAGCAGAGACATCAGAGATCAGCACTGTTGTCACCTTGAGTTTTGGATTTCCTGGCCTTAGAGCTGTATCAAATGCAAAGGTATCTGAAGAATTTCAAAAATTTATCATTCCTCTCCAGGAGAAATAAACCTAGGTGTGCCTTGTACTTCAAAGGTAAGGAGAGTGGCATAAAACAAACAAATGGGCTACAAAGAAAGGATTTTTGTTGTTTGTGTGATATAATGATCAAGTTGTACTCAAACTGGACAACTTTGATAAGCTCCACACTTTTTTGTTTGTTTGTTTTTATATAGTTAGTCTTGCTTTGAACCCTCAGGCTATCCTTGCCTTTAAGGCAAACTCAGCTTCCCTAGTGCTGGGATTATAGTTGTGCACCACCAATCCTTATGAATCTCATCTATAGAACTTCATTTTTCTCTTTAGCAAGGGCAACATGATCAGGTGCATTCTAGTTCTGAAATCCTAATTCTGTTTAATTCTCTTATACAGTTGTATGTGATGATGTGTATTGATATTGACAGTGGGGATCAGGATGTCTTATTTTAGGTTCCCTTTCCTCAAGTGCTGCTAATTTTGTCCTCAAAGTTAAAAGACAAAGGCCAGGCTATCAAATTACTAGATAAAGCCACACCTTCATTTCTCTGGTACCAGTAGCTTAAAAGCAATTTTTATCCTTTATCAGCATATTTACACTGTATAAGAGTGGTATGGAAATTACATTTTCATATATACATATTTGGTTATAGTCTCCCCATAACTACTCTCTTCTCTCTCTTTCCATTCCTGCTGTCTCCCTTCCTCTTGAAAAATAGCATTTTTTCTTCTTTAATGTCTTTCATTATTTTTAATTAATTAATTAATTAATTACAATTTATTCACTTTTTATCCCAGCTGTAGCCCCCCTCATCTCCTTCCAGGCCCATCCATCCTCCCTCTTCTCCCCTTATGCTCCTCCCCTAGTCCCCTGATAGGGAAGGTCCTCCTCCCCTTCTATCTGACCCTGGCCTATCAGGTCTCATCAGGGCTGGCTGCATTATCTTCCTCTGTGGCCTGGCAAGGTTATACCTCCCAAGGGGAGTTGACCAAAGAGCCAGCCACTGAGTTCATGTCAGAGACAGCCCCTGTACCCCTTACTAGGAAATCCACTTGGAGATTGAAGTGCCATGGCTTCCTCTGAGCAGGGGATCTAGGTCCTCCATGCATGGTCCTTGACTGCAATATCAGTCTCTGCAGGACCACCTGGACCCAAGTATTTTGGCTCTGTTGTTCTCCTTGTGAATGTCTTTTATTTTTATTAATTTTTTTTTTTATATTTTCATACTAACTTTTGTTTTAAAATAGGGTGTTGCAAGCTGGGGGTAGAGCTCAGCCTTAAAATTACTGCTATGCATTCTTTTAAAATTTTTTTAAATTTTATTTTTATTAATTGCAGTTTATTCACTTTGTATCCCAGCTGAAGCCCCCTCCCCAATCCCCTCTCAATCCTACCCTCCCTCCCTCTTCTCCTATGCCCCTTCCCCAGTCCAATGATAGGGGAGGTCCTCCTCCCCTTCCATCTGAACCTAGACTATCAGGCCTCATCAGGACTGGCTTCTTTGTCTTCCTCTGTGGACTGGTAAGGCTGCTCCTCCCCCAGGTGGAGGTGATCAAAGAGCCAGCCCATGAGTTCATGTCAGAGACAGTCCCTGTTCCTATTATTGGGGAATCCTCTTGGACACTGAGCTGCCATGGGCTACTTCTGTGCAGGGGTTCTAAGTTATCTCCATGCATGGTCTTTGGAGTATCAGTCTCAGAAAAGACTCCTGGCCTCAGATTTTTTGGTTCTGTTGCTCTCCTTGTGGACCTCCTGTCTCCTCTAGGTTGTCCTATCTCCCCCTTCTTTCATAAGATTCCCTGCACTCTGCCCAAAGTTTGACTATAAATCTCAGCATATGTTTTGATACCCTACTGGGTAGAGTCTTTCAGAGGTCCTCTGTGATAGGCTCCTGCCCTGTTTCCTGTTTTCTCCCTCTTCTGATGTCCATCTCGTTTGCCTTTCTGAGTGAGGATTGATCATCTTACCCAGCGTCCTCCTTGATTAGATTCCTTAGGCGTACAGATTTTAGTATGCTTATCCTATATTATATGTCTAATATCCACTTATAAATATCCACATATACCATGTGTGTCTTTCTGCTTCTGGGATACCTCACTCACAGGATGATCTTTTCTAGATCCCACCATTTGCCTGCAAATTTCACAATTTCTTTGTTTTTAATTGCTGAGTAGTATTCCATTGTGTAAATGTACCACAATTTCTATATCCATTCAACTGAGGGATATCTGGGTTGTTTCCAGCTTCATACAGAGAAGATATATAACATTTTGTCAAAATGTGGCTTACTTTATTTATCACAGTGATATCTAACTTTATTGATTTTTCTAAAAATGAAGTAATTTCATTTTTGTGTGCAAATAATATTCCATTGTGTGTATGTCATATTTTCTCTATTCACTCATCTGCTGATGGACTTCAAGACTGAGCCCATAACTTGGCTCCTATAAATGTTGTTGTTATAGTTAATATGTTGTGATGGTATCTCTGTTTCATGATGACTTAGATTCTTGGGTTTTTTTTCCTCTCTTTCTGCATCTCCACACTGATTTTTGCATTTTTCCGATGGCTAGGGATGTTGAATGATTTTTCCATTTAACTTGAGAATTGTCTGTACAACTCATTTGCCCATTTATTGACTGAATTATTTTGGCACTTTTTGAGTTATTTACATGTCCTGGATTTCAGTTCCCTGTCAGATACTACTCTGTTGTTTCTTTTTTTGTGTCTTTTGCCTTCTAATTTTATGCTATTTCTTGCTATTATTTTCTGTGTTATTGGAGTCCTATTCACAAAGTCATTACCCATAATGAACTGTCTCCATAGCAGTTTCAAAGCTTTAGGTCTTCCATTAATGTTTTTGATCTGTTCTGTATAGATTTTCACACAGGAATCTAGTTTCATTCTGTATGTAGATATCCAATTCCCCAGAACCCTTTGTTGAAGAGGTGAGTCCCCTTTTACTCCTACATATGTTTTTGGCATCTTTTGTCAAAATTCAACTGACTGTCAGGGCTGAAGAGACAGCTCAGTGGCTAAAAGCATATACTTCTGTTCCAAAAGACCCATTTGGTTCCAAGTACCCACATCAGACAGATCACAACAGTCTGTAACTCCAGCTCCAGGAGATCAGATACCTCTGGTCTTTGTGGACACCTGCAATCACAATGCTTGTATCCACATACAGACACACTTGCATGCACATAATTTAAAATAAGAGAGTAACTCAGTTGGCTGTAGTTCTATGGGTTTATTTCTGAGTCCTCTATACTATTCTATTGGTCTATGTATATATGTTCTTTTTTGTCCTTTTCTTTTTATTATATATATACACATACATAGAAGACATCAGTATGTAAATGTACACACACATAGGTACATTATGAGTGTGTGTAGGCCTGAGGTTGTTACCAGGAATCTTTTTTGGTCATTTTCCACAATGTTTCTTCACCAAAGCCTGTTGCTAGTTCCAATAGCCAGCATGCTCTGGTGATCTCTCTCATCTGTCTCTAAGGCTGGAATTACAGGTGAGTTGCCACATTACTGC